GCAGGATGTTATATGTCAGAGTATTGCATCAAAAGATGGCACCGAATACTCCAACAGTTGGATGGCCAAACTAGACTACCTGTCATAGGTCTTCAATTGTCAGAATTTCAAGCAAGACACATTGACAGAAAAACATCACAAGAAACTAAATCTTCCCGGGTCTCACTAGGATCATCTTAATCTTAACAGTCACTCTGCATGTTAATTTTATTTAATACTAGCTTCAAAGGAGAAAAAGACGCACATACCTTAGTCATGTCAATCATTGCTAGGGAAAATGTGCATTATAGCTACTAGAAACGGAAAATTTGGAGAAAGATTTGACCTTTTTCAACTACTTCTCATTAATCGAGGTTCACAAGCACGATGGTTTGATTTAGATGAAACCTTCAATGATTCTTTGTCAAGATCAACCTTAACATTTTATACTTCAGGAAAACAGTGCCGCGAATTTCTACTTTCTACTGACCATTAGAACCAGCAATCAAGGTGTTCCTTCCGTTTCTTTGCCGGGGGTTATCCTCACACAAGATAATTTGGTTAAATACTTAAATGTAAATGACAGCGGGACGCGCAACGCGGCTTTTGCTATGAACAGGAGACCATTCAGCATTCTTTTATTGCGTGTTAGCATGCATTGCATGGCAGGCTGTTTATTTAGCATTTAACATTACTGCATCCTGTAGTATTTCACATATATTTGGGACGTGGCTGCAGGGGGGGTAGATAAATCGCTACAAGCACTTTATTATGATCGGGGCTGGAGCAGTTTTTTGGTCTATTTGGCTTTGTAGAAACAGTACTCCCTCTGATCCAAATTAATTGACACGGTCTCTATACAACCTCTGTACAATGTTGTATAGAGGCTGCGTCAGGCCCTGTTTGGATTGTCGTGTTCTTTTCAAATACACCTGTAAAGAATATAGGTCACGGCTCATCGCTTTGTTACCGGCCGAGAATTGCTGAGCGGACGGTAAGATACAGGTGTAAAATAAACACCTCTGTATTTATTTACAACGAATCCAAGCGTGGCCTCGATTAATTTGGATTGGAGGGAGTATTATTTTTTACAATAAGGTCCAATCTTGCAGGCAGGTGCTATGATCGTGTATCAGTTGGCTGCAATCATGGGCATTGTTACAGAAGGTGCAGCACAACAGAGCTTGGCACCAAGAAGCTAGAGTGGCTTACCAGGGAGTTTATGTCCTGGTTTGGATGGTGTGCTAGTGAAGTAGTGATAGGCTTCTCAGTCTGTACTCTCTAGTGATGCTATGTGTGGCCTGTCTTTTTCATTAGGCCTAAATGTTTCGTGTGGTTATGTTGCTTTTTGATGGCTTGTAATAAATAATGTAATAATCAGGGCTGCATGTATCAGCGATGCAGAGGCCGGGGGTAATAAAGCTTTCATTTTACAACAATTACAAAATTAGAACCAGCAATATAAGAAAGTAATGAAGAAAGAACAAAGTCTGTTAGTTAGGACTAGATGCTTGAATGGGACTGAGACTTTTGCCAAAAGAAAGGGTGCAAGCAGTTTGAAAATGGATGTTTTATTCTTCATGTTGCATCATTGGTGATATCAATACATATTATGACTGGATCATCCCTTGTATAAATGATTAGCTGTCTAGATCCCATCCCAGTAAAAGAGATTTGAGTTGGAAATAAGACATTTACCTTGGCAAAGAAGAATGTTTCCTCTGTGATGAAACAGCTGATCCATTTTCGCCACCATTTTCCTCGAGTTCAGCGAAGCGTTTCTTAAATTGGTCGACAGCACTGCAATACCAGAAGATGCAAGCGTATCAGACATGGATGATGACTAAGAGAAGATAAACAAGTGTGCAATAACATATCTAACCTTAAATGAACAAAGTTTCGTCTGTCTGTTCCACTGATATGCTCCTTCAGTAATTGAGGATGATACTCCAAAATTTCTTCAAAGATCAGTTCCTTGATGTCCTCCTTTGTTACTCTACGACCCTCAAATTCAAATTCAATTTTTGGTATCGGTTGACAAGATGGTTCTCGCTCTACCTTTGCTAGTCCATTAAAGTATGGATCTGCCAATGCCTACAATTTGCAGATATATCAAGATCACAATATCTTGTACTGCCAGATGCAGAACATGGGACCGGTTAAGATTCATATATATGGCATACCTCTTCAGCAGAGGGACGATCCTTTGGATCAAAAGCTAGAAGCCTCCTAAGCAATCGTAATGCTAATGGGTCAGCCTTTGGAAATTTCTGCGAAAACGAAGCAGGCTGTTTCTTCCGCATGCATGTCAGATATTTTCTTGCCTTGTCATTCCGCACCTTAGCAGAGGTAGGACAGTAGAAAATTTTAAGGAGACAGAACTACATATAACTTTGACAGCAAACTTCCAAAGATCCATACCTGAGAAATAGCATCTAATGAAGGTGTCCCCAGAACATCAGTTATCAAATCCAGCTGGTGAACAACATTTTTACCAGGAAATAGAGGCTTTCCAATCAACACCTCGGCAAAAATGCACCCTATACTCCATATATCAATAGCTGGTGTATACTGCAACCCAAAAGATGGCAAATTTCAGTGACACGAACAATTGGCCATACCAACTCAAATCAGGACCGGGGGAAGATCTTGTTTACAAAAGAAATATAACAGAAAAATAATGCCACAACTGTGGTCAATACCAAATAAGACGATTTGTAATTGGGACAGTCAACTTCCAATCGGGACCATTTGAATATTTCTTTAACCCAACTAATGCTATGCACTGTTCAGTTGCTCAAGTAACGGATATGTTTCCAACTTTGCAATAAGCAGCATGAGCAAAAGAAATTGTGCTGAAGGGATCCATTTACTTACGGAAGGTTGTTAGTGATAGTTGCTATCTACCTTCTCTACTGTAAATTAAGAGGGTGTATAAACAGGTAAATTGTGCAGAAAATAATTCAAACTCGACGGTAGCCACATCTGAATGGTAGTTAGTAAGCAAAACCGTATTCCTATTAAAATTATAATTCAAACTCTATTCATGTTTCCCCAATATGGAATATGAACATGGTATGGCAAGATAGTTGCCACATGGTTTAGTTCCCATTCAAGTTATTTATGTGCGACAAACACTAACAGGCTGGAACAGGTTTCGGAAAGTGGTCTGGTACCTACTGGGCTCAGTGAGCCTCCAATGTGGAGACCTACCACGGGAATCTATGCAAAGGGAGGCATGTTGGCATTAGGGGCACAAATTCGTGGGACTTCAGAAAGCCTAGCCACCACTCCCACCCATGAAAGCCTGGCCGTGCTTGTCAGTGCTAGCACCCTAGCAGGCTACTAGGCTAGCACACAGCGTTCCCGCTTTTATACGTGTGGATACCTTGAGAGGTGTTGTTGCGAGGCTGTCAGGTAAGGACAATCGCAACTTGTGATTGTCCAGAGGTGCTAGTGGAGGAACCATGAGGAGCTACTAGTACAAGTGTACAACTATATTAGAGTATCGGTAATGATGTGGTCTAAAACTGCAGTGGTCCTTGGTGTACAATATGTATACAAACATTTAGTGATACACGCAAAGACATGGAGTTCCAACCTTGCAGTGCTATCCATCATTCTATTGTTTGCAGCCATATGACAGCACAGTTACAAGTTTGAACAGCATACAATATGGGCTTATGAATCATTAGTGTTACTTCTTTATTGCCAATTTGCCATGGGACATTTGCTGATTTACAAGTATATGATGAGTTCATGGCATCAACTTTTTTGCTCAAATTTGCGCATACAGGTGTAAACGATGCATTACACTTTTTTTTTGGTGCTATAGGCATATAAGACAGACAAATCCAAATATTAAAAAGAAGTCAAAAGCCGCCTCATGGCAATTCCCTCAATACTCACTACAATGTGAGGTGACTCCGACTGTCAGGACCCTGACTGAACCCACTAGTGTTGTATTCCTATTGGCACTTCGTCAGTTAACCAATGATCCAGATTGATCAAGACGAGAAGCAATGGACAGTCCAGATGGGCGCGGGCAAAAGAGTATCTTTACTGTTTACCATTTAAACTCAATTACAATGTACTGTTTATCTTGCTGCTGCCGTCACTGCTGTAATTTCCCTCATACTCACCTCATGGCCAATTCCCTCATACTCACTACAAGGTGAGGTGATCAACAGGCACCGGACATCAAGTTCCAGACCCGCATCCCAACAATGTCATTTACCAGCACCAGTACCAGTACCATCACACAAAAATAATGCCTATTAGGTCGGCATCATCTATATGTATACATGTCAACCTCTCTAACTTCTGATAAATCATAAGTTTGTAACATTGCTTACCTTAGAATAGAAGGACCCACAAAGTTCAGGTGCTCTATACCATCTCGTTGCCACATAATCCTGAAAAGCGAAGTTTATTCTAATTTAGAAGTTCATTTGACAGGAATAGAAAACATTGGATGAGCAATGGAAGACTCCAGAGCAGCCCCAAGGCCCTAAATTAATGGTTAGCTTCAGAACCGTCGACCCCAATCCCACCCTAAAACCAAAATGAGGAAATGGCTTCGTGAAGACCCACTTAAAAGTAAAACTAGATGACATCTTATTTCAACTTGTATGTGACAGTGCACTGATCATTAGATATTCACTTTCCCTTTGTTAGAACCATTGCGTCTCGAATGACAACCTTAAGTTCAACATGACAACGGGGAACAAAGCATGATTCGGTGCTAGTAAATCTCCAATTGTTAGTACTGCAAGATCAACCAATAACATATGCTATTGAGATACAATAACAAAAGATATTGCTTACTGTCCAGAAGACTGTCGTAGGTGCATCATTGAATGCAACTCTCGCCAAGCCAAAGTCACAAATTTTGAGTTTGCAATTTGCGTTGGCAAGCACATTCTTGGGCTTCAAATCTCGGTGATAGACATTTGCTGCATCAAAGCACAAACAATATTTAGCCAATTCTGAACATATGTAGCAACTGAAATGATATTATATAATTTCCAACATTAAAAATCAACCATGCAAATACAAATAGAGTATGGAACCAAATATGCTATGGTTTCGGTAAATACCAAACTAGCCAAAGTTGACACGGGTTCAAAAAATAAAGGAGCAACCTTTTACTTTTATTTGTGCAACTAAATATCTGAGTTGTCATGTGCAATGCTGCATCAGTAATCAATACCCAGATACTCAGCATGCCTTAGTGGGCAAATGCAGAACAAGACACCATAAACACAGGTGATTGTCATACACAATGATACAGCAAATAGGTTGGGGCCATAAACATCAGTGGTCGGGGTCCATCGCGTATACACTGGCACAGGAGCATATTGCAATAACAAGCCTACATGCTACAACAGCATTGCTTCATTTCAAACCAGGCCTTAGATGCAGGCCATGGCGTGCATTCAGAACGACTATCATCTCGACCAAACTGTACCAAACTTTAAATCAGTCGACCCGTTCAATAGATGTTAATTAGAACTCATGTAATTGTTCCAGTGCCATCTCAATAAAAGAAAGAACAGGAAGGGGGAAAAGGGATGAATCAAATCATCAAATGGTTACAAGTGAAATTTGCATGCAAATTAGCATACAACAATGCAAGTGCAGGAAAGAAACAATAGTCAAATAGCTACATGGTCGTTCCATAAGAATAGAAGCGCACGTAACATTTATCTTCATAAAAAGACTGTGAGGAAGTGCATACCTGTGTGCATATATTTCAAAGCTCGAAGCATCTGATACAAGAAAAACTGATAATGCTCCCTCGTCAAATCATCATTAGCCTTTATTACTTGATGAAGATCTGACTCCATAAGTTCAAAGACAACATATATATCTTTGAAATCCTTTTTGGATGGGGGGAGCAAGATATGCTTTATTTCCACTACATCAGGATGCCTAAGAAGCCTGAGAAGCTTGATTTCACGGAGTATGCGTGCAGCATCCGATATATGCTCAAAAATGTTGTGTATCTTCTTTATTGCAACCTTCTCTCCTGTTTGTGTATCATTTGCAGAACATACAAGTCCATAACTACCTTTGCCTATGACCTCCAGAACTTTGTATCGATTAGTATCGCCATATTCAGTAAAGAAATCAATTTCCGCTGCACTCTGAATTAGAGAAAATAGTCAGATAACTAATACTGTTGCACATTAAACCTACGAAACACAGAAGACAATGACCATCGATGATGGTACTACCACTTGGTTACTCTATGATCAAAAGGAAAATGTGTACTTTTGACCCCTAAACTATTATTTTGGGTGTAGATCTGGTCGTCAACTCCTAAAACGGATACTTTCACCCTTCAACTCTCAATACTGTATATTTTTGCTCCATCGAGGTGGTTTTGACTGTTCCAAAATGGTTTTGATCGATGTGGCATCTACATGTAGGCCAAATCACATATCTGCAGTCTTACCAATTTCCTCCCGGAAATTCCTAAAATTTAAGTAAGAAGCAGAAAAAGGCAAATAATATATATATACTTCAAACGAAGATATCAACGAATCTAGTAAAAAGACATCAGTTTTGAAGAAATGGAGAAAACTATCAGAAAGGGGGAAAGAGTAAAATCATATACAGCATAATGGGGTAAAAAAACTCGAGAAAGTCTTTTTATTTACAAAAACCTCAGATTTTCAAAAATCAAGAAAACAAAAAAATAGTCAAAAGAAAAATCAAGAAATTGCAAATAGAAGGAGATTATGATTCTTTTATTAAATTGCTTTTCTTCTAATAAACCAAAAAATGTCGGATTGCTCCTTTTTTCTCTCAAATTCCCTGTAAATACAGAATATGAAATATCATTTTTAATTATATTTTTCTTTTTTTGTTTTGTTTCTCTGCTTTTTAAATAGGTTTGTGGATTTTTAGAATGAGATTAGTGATGCGGCAGACACATGGTGCTGGCGCCGCATCAGTAAAAACCGCTTTGAAATGGTCAAACCGCCTTGAGGGACCAAAAGTACACGAAATGGCAGTTCAAGGGCAAAAATGTCTGACTGTGGGACCAGATCTACACCCGGCCAATAGTTTAAGGGGTCAAAGATACATTTCCAAATCAAAAACACTGCTGCAAGTTAATCACAGACGTTCAGTGGTATTAATGACAAAACCAGAGAAAGAACTGCCTGAGCAAGTCCCTCTCCACCTACAACTTAATCATCTAGTGTCAGTATGACATATAGCTTCCAACGAAACAGTGGACTGGAGCAAAGGTTTTCCGCTGTTACTACCAGGTACGTATAAAGATATTCCTTTGGGATGTAATCACATACTCCAGAGCCAAGAACTGCGCACACCTCTGACATTACAAATTTACAATTCACTCTCTTTGTAGCATGTGGGAAAAATAAATTATTACCAAAGACTGAAGGAGGTGTCCTTATAACCAGTAGCTACTTTGTAGAATAACAACATTACCAAACAAAAATGTCCTAAAGTCACAGCATGTCACCTAGTTTTATTCGCTTAAACTAATATTAAAACCATCTGGACCTCTTACTCGAATTGCCATCATTCCCAACATTTTCACTACTCCCGTCTAAACAAGCAAAGCCAAAGAATCCAAGAGCACGAACCTTCTTGCGCAAATCGCCGTTCTGCATCTCGGAGCCCGTAGTGGAAGCTTCCCAAGATCGACCTTTCTTTCTTTCTTCTCCCTCCTCCCACGATCCCACCAGACACACAGACCGGCCTCTCGCTCAGGCGCGGGTCAGCCGCACTTGCCCCACCGGCTCCTGCTCCGAATCGCGGTCCCGCAGTCGTTCCTGCTCCTCATACACCCCTCGCCGCCACCGTACGTCGCTGCCGCGGCCGCCGCCACGGCCGGGTTCTTGTACGGTTCGGGAAGATCGCGAGCCGGCGGCAGTCGCTTCGGATCTGGGGGAAGGGGAGAGGAGGCGTCGTGCGTGGTGACTGGAGAGAGCTCGTCGGCGTGCTGTGGTGAGGCAGCGGAGGAAGCTGGGGTGACGAGGTGGGAGGGATATTTTCTCTTCTCTTCTCTTTCTCCTCTGTTTTCTCCGCGTGGTGAGGTGAGCTCCGCGTGCGTGGCAGCTATATCTCGTGGATTCTCGGTGGCGTTTCGCCGTTTCCAAAGGTAGATCACAAGGCTCGGGCTCTCTTTAGACCAAAAATGTACTGTAATATTCATGTCAAAACAAAGTGTAATGTCTCTTATATATTTTATTGTAGAAAATTAGTCATGAAATGCTAAACCAATTCTCGTATGGTTATTCATCGTTGGAGCATAATCAACCTCACTACAATGGTTTATTCCTACCAGCAATTGAGAGCAACTAGAATTCCTATAAAGATGTTGTTGTATCCGTCTCCTGGGGCTCTTCGAGGGTGAAAGCGCCCTCAGCACCGTTCGTTTTCGAGTGGTGTGCCGCGGAGGCCTTCATGGGCTCTTCATGTTGTCTTATCGCCTCGGCGGGTCCATAATCTATGGACCGTGGGCGTGCCCGGGGCCACCATCATGGGGCGCCGTCGGACGCATCCGCAAGGGTGAGGCCGTCCACACCGGTCGATTCTTAGTGGCGTATCGCGGGCGCCTTTTGAGTGCTCTTCACGCCGTCTGATCTGTCCGGATCGTGCACACCCGGGGGAGGAGCCTTGGGGGTTAATGGCGGGTGGACTGCAGGCGGGCACCGGGCCAATGTCATGTGGCATTTCCGCCCTGCTCACATGCGAGGCCATCTCTGTTAGGCTGGTTGTTCATGCTGGTCGGGTCTTCTCGCGCGTTTGCAATACCGCCTTGTCCGTGGGGCCATCTTTTAGGATCGTCTGCCCCGTGTCGGGTTGGTTCGCTCGCGTCGCCTGGTTCCTACGTCACGCCCGCAAAGCCGGCTCGCCCATGGGGCTAGTCGGTCAGGTTCCGTTGGCCCCACATGGGTGCGGGCAGGCAACGAGTGAGTTGCGAACTTGGTGACCCGATTTGTTTGCCTAACCGACTCATAGCCCGATGTGGAGCCTACATGTCACCGGTCGGACCGGTTAGGCACGACGCAAGTCGTTGTGTTCCGAGTTGGGGTTTTACATGGGCTTTGCAACCCACTGTCGAGGAGTCTTGCTCGCACTACCCGGACATCCTCTGTCGGGTAGTGTGTGTTGTGCTGGACTGCCTAACGCGGGATGGGACATCGATTGCCATGCGTTATTGCGTTGCTTACAAGCGCTTCGTGTGCTCGGTCGTTCGGCACCGTCTCTCATATTATTTTGTCTTTCTTTGTGTGGCTCTCTCTTTTGATCCATACTAGCTCCACCTCGCTTCTTTCCCCTTGAATGGAAGCGGCTTCGCGAGTTTCTTGGGCGGCCCGTCTACGGGGTGGTTTGAGGGCAGTGCTTGTTTTTGTCCACATGGCCATCATCGGCTGCTCGAGGTAGGCAACGATCGCCGGAAGTTTTTTGGGCTTTGCCAGGGAAACGTCCGGGAGAAGTCGTCTTTTGTCGTCGTATGGCCTCTTAGGGCACTGCGACCTTCTTCGCATGCTTTGATTGTGGTGGTTGGGCATATATGAATTCTAGGTGAGCCGTTTCTTTGGTCATTTTTGTGTGCTCTGTTTGACGAGGTGGGTTTGTTTGATCCTTGTTTCTTTCGCATGTTTGGTTGCTTCGTGACGCCTACATGATTCAGTGATGTCGTCATTCGGTTGGGTGCACCATCCGTCGTCTTCCTTCGTCTTCCCTGCACTAAGGTTTTCTCATTTGTTTTGCGTGTATTGTGTAGTTTATTCACCTTGTGCTGATTTATCCACGCGTCATGTTTTCGTGTCCTGTTGTTGCGATACAATTGTCTGTTCGGAATGGCGATCCAATTGGATATAGTATGTCCAGGAATTGTTGGTGGATCGTGAGATGATTGATGGCATGCTTGTCCTCGGGGTCACGTCACGGGGCTCCACTCTATTTCCCAGGCAGACCATAGCGAGAAATAAAGTGCACCGCAGGGCCTATGATGCTGGTTCTACGTCCATGCATTCTTGATACGTCCATTTTGCATCATGCTTTTATATTGATATTTATTGCATTATGGATTGTTATTACACATTATGTCACAATACTTATGCCTTTTCTCTCTTTTTTTACAAGGTTTACATGAAGAGGGGGGATGCCGGCAGCTGGAATTCTGGGCTGGAAAAGGAGCAAATATTAGAGACCTATTCTGCACACTTCCAAAAGTCCTGAAACTCCACGGGAATTATTTTCAGAATATATAAAAAATATTGGGCGAAAGAAGTACCAGAGGGGGCCACCCATCGTCCATGAGGGTGGGGGCGCGCCCCCTGCCTCGTGGGCCCCCTGGTGGCCCTCCAATGCCCATCTTTGGCTATATGGAGTCTTTCGTTGAGAAAAAAAATCATAAGCAAGCTCACGGGACAAAACTTCGCCGCCATGAGGCGGAACCTTGGCGGAACCAATCTAGGGCTCTGGCGGAGCTGTTCTGCTGGGGAAACTTCCCTCCGGGAGGGGGAAATCATCACCATCGTCATCACCAACGATCCTCTCATCGGGAGGGGGCCAGTCCCCATCAACATCTTCACCAGCACCATCTCATCTCAAACCCTAGTTCATCTCTTGTATCCAATATTTGTATCCAAACCTCAGATTGGTACCTGTGGGTTGCTAGTAGTGTTGATTACTCCTTGTAGTTGATGCTAGTTGGTTTACTTGGTGGAAGATCATATGTTTAGATCCATTATGCATATTAATACCCCTCTGATTATGAACATGAATATGCTTTGTGAGTAGTTACGTTTGTTCCTGAGGACATGGGAGAAATCTTGCTATAAGTAGTCATGTGAACTTGGTATTCGTTCGATATTTTGATGAGATGTATGTTGTCATCCCTCTAGTGGTATCATGTGAACGTCGACTACATGACACTTCACCATTGTTTGGGCCTAGAGAAAGGCATTGGGAAGTAATAAGTAGATGATGGGTTGCTAGAGTGACAGAAGCTTAAACCCTAGTTTATGCGTTGCTTCGTAAGGGGCTAATTTGGATCCATATGTTTCATGCTATGGTTAGGTTTACCTTAATACCTCTGTTGTAGTTGCGGATGCTTGCAATATGGGTTAATCATAAGTGGGATGCTTGTCCAAGTAAGGGCAGTACCCAAGCACCGGTCCACCCACATATCAAATTATCGAAGTACCGAACGCGAATGATATGATCATGATGAAAACTAGCTTGACGATAATTCACATGTGTTCTCGGGAGCGCTTTCCTCTATATAAGAGTTTGTCCAGGCTTGTCCTTTGCTACAAAAAGGTTTGGGCCATATTGTTGCACCTAATTTACTTTTATTACTTGTTACCCGTTACAAATTACCTTATCACAAAACTATCTGTTACCGATAATTTCAGTGCTTGCAGAGAATACGTTGCTAAAAAGCGTTTATCATTTCCTTCTGCTCCTCGTTGGGTTCGACACTCTTACTTATCGAAAAGGCTACGATAGATCCTCTACACTTGTGGGTCATTAAGAATCTTTTCTGGCGTCGTTGCCGGGGAGTGAAGCGCCTTTGGTAGGTGGAATTTGGTAAGGAAAAATTTATATAGTGTGCTGAAATTTACTGTCACTTGTTACTATGGAACATAATCCTTTGAGGGGCTTGTTCAGGGTATCTTCACCCCGACCAATAGAGCAAAGAGTTGCTGCTCAACCTACTGAACCTACTAAAAATGTTTACTTTGAAATTCCTTCGGGTATGATAGAGAAACTGCTAGCTAATCCTTTCACCGGTGATGGAACATTACATCCCGATTTGCACCTAATCTATGTGGATGAAGTTTGTGGATTATTTAAGCTTGCAAGTATGCCCGATGATGTTATCAAGAAGAAGGTCTTCCCTTTATCTTTGAAGGGAGAGGCATTGACATGGTTTAGGCTATATGATGATATGGGATCATGGAACTACAACCGATTGAAATTGGAATTTCATCAGAAGTTTTATCCTATGCATCTTGTTCATCGTGGTCGCAATTATATATATAATTTTTGGCCTCGCGAAGGATAAAGCATCGCTCAAGCTTGGGGGAGGCTTAAGTCAATGTTATATTCATGCCCCAATCATGAGCTCTCAAAAGAAATGATTATTCAAAAAAATTATGCTTGGCTTTCTCTCAGTAATCGCTCAATGCTCGATACTTCTTGTATTGGATCTTTTATGATGAAGACTATTGAATTCAAATGGGATTTATTGGAAATAATTAAACGCAACTATGAAGATTGGGACCTCGACGAAGGTAAGGAGTCAGGTATAACACCTAAGTTTGATTGTGTTAAATCTTTTATGGATATCGATGCTTTCTGTGAATTTAGCACTAAATATGGACTTGACTCTGAGATAGTAGCTTCTTTCTGTGAATCCTTTGCTATTCATGTTGATCTCCCTAAAGAGAAGTGGTTTAAATATAATCCTCCCATTGAACTAAAAGTAGTTGCACCTATTAAAGTTGAAGAAAAGACTGTCACTTATAATGATCCTGTTGCTCCTACTACTTATATTGAGAAACCACCTTTCCCTGTTAGAATAAAGGATCATGCTAAAGCTTCAACTGTGGTTAACAAAAGTAATATTAAGACACCTAACCCCCCTGAG